GAGCAGAGAGAAACAGATTCTAGTGCCATGTCTTTATTAAATAGAAGGGTGATTTAGCTGGGCGCGGTGACTCACGCCTGTAAGCCCAACAATTTGGGAGGCTGAAGTGGGCAGATCACTTGAGGTTAGGAGTTCTGGACCAGCCTGGCTGACATGGCAAAACCCCATCTGTACTAAAAATACAAAAATTATCTGGATGTGGTCCAGGCACCTGTAATCCCAGCTACTCTGGAGGCTGAGGCCAGGAATCGCTTAAACACAAGAGGCAGAGGTTGCAGTGAGATGAGATTGCACCACTGCACTCTGGCCTGGGTGACAGAGTGAGACTCCATTTCAAATAATAATAATAATAATAATAATAAGTGATTTAGTAACATTGTATTAACAGTTCACAAAAGGGCATTGGGAATACAGAGAAACTTTAATAATTGCCACAAAACACAGACAACTGGAGATAAAATGAGTGCATATGATGATCTATTGGGGATTTGCATTGTTTCTCTTCTCTCTCTCTCTCTCTCTCTCCCCCCCTCCCTCTCTCTCTCACTCTCTTTCTCTTCCTCCCTCTCTCTCTCACTCTCTCTCTCTTTCCCTTCCATTCAATAGAGACAACCATCTTAAGTAACACCGGACTCTTACTGAGGAAAAAAAAATCTGCTTGTTTTCTCTATCATAAAACATTAGTTAGTAAAGTCCAAGCAATTTTATCTGGTCCCCTTCAGATAGAAAAGAATATGCTACTTACCTGCCCATAACTTCATCCTCTCTCTATCCTCTGCCTCTCCAGCAGGGCAGCTCTGTTCTGAGACTTTGGTGGTCAACAGCAGCCCGACATCCTATGCTAGTTAGGTACAGCCCCAAGACTGGCCATCCTTGGTTGGCTATGGAAACACTGACTCCATGAGCCTAGAGACTGAACTTTTCCCCAGAAAATAATAAAAACTGTATTTGTCTTTACATATTTTATTTGTTCCTGTACGTTGATCATTGATCCACCTCTGAGCTGAGGAAAGGGAAGCTGCTTTTTTTTCTTTGAAACTATGTCTCACTCTGTCCCCAGGCTGGAGTGCAGTGGTGCAATCTCGGCTCACTGCAACCTCTGCCTCCCAGGTTCAAGTGATTCTCTTGCCTCAGCCTCCCGAGTAGCTGGAACTACAGGCATGCACCACTACGCCCCGCTAATTTTTGTATTTTTAGTAGAGACAGGGTTTCACCATGTTGGCCAGGATGGTCTTGATCTCCTGACCTTGCGATCCTCCCGCCTCGGCCTCCCAGTGTGCTGGGATTACAGGCGTGAGCCACCGCGCCTGGCCAGGAAGCTGCCTTTAATCACCTGTATTCCTAAATGGCTGAGATTAGATGAGGACACCAATGTTGACTCATCCAGTTCTTTCACTCAACTTTGACTTCCGTGAGGGCAGCATGGAACTTTAGACAGAAAAAGAGGTAGAAATGAATAGTAAACTTCACTTGTAGGAGAAACTTTTCTTATTTTTCTTCTATGACTCCAATGTTGTTTTTAAAATAAAAAAGATAGATTTCATTTGCATTAAAACAGATCCAGAGAATGCTTAGGCCTGCAGCCAGTGGCTCTTGGTGGGTCTGGTTCTCTGGATGAACACGTAGTAACGAATTTATTATTGCAGGAAATCCACTTCCCACCTTTGTTTCAGAAGCAGAAATATTCTTTATTGTACTGTGTTGGGGTGCTGCAGTGGCTGTTCATGCTAACTTGTGCTTACTTGCAGATAAGTTTGTGTATGTTTTAGGCATCACCAGGCATTTGAAGATTCAACCCTGTCACTGAAAGAGAGATTTTATTTTAACCCTATTGTGAGCCTTTCAGGCCTTAGGTGCACAGAGGATTTACCTGGAGAAAGTTATGGGGAAGGAGCTGGCCCCAGCTCTGAGGGCTCCTGTTCTTGTAGGTTCCTCACCAGCCTCCGGGGTTATAGCCTGAATCCTGCCTGGCGTCCTAGAGAGGCATAAACACCTATAATGCCTCTCTAGTGGGCTCTTCTTAGACTCGGGGAAGATCTCATTTTATGATGCTTGAGGAGTCTCAGTTTTCCTTTGCTCTGTAATGAAGGCTTGGAAATGTTTCCTATTACATCACAAATCCCCACTCTTCCTTAGTGGACTTTGATTCCTGAAGTAGCTTGCATGTGCCTGAAACCGTGGAATGTCGTCTCATGCGACAATTAGACAGAAAGACTAGCATTTGCTTACTCTTTGTGCATGTAATTGTGCTGCCAACCTTTCCTTAGAGTTGTATCTTGTTAATATATTGTCGGTTGGATTTTGGCATCATTCTCAGGTTTTGGCAGAACTGAAATAGTCATTAGCTAGCTTTCCCCATTCAAATAAGACTGCAGATAAAGGAAGGAAAAGATGTGAGTAAATCAAAGAGCTTTTCCTTTTCTCTGATTTTGTTGACTGCAATTCCCATCTCTTGGTTCAGCTGTCTTTCTCATTAGTGGATCCTGATGAAATTATGGAAGAAATTGAAGAGCTCTTGATACTCCTAAACAGACCAATGAAAACAAGTCATTCGTAGGTGGTTTCTCAACACAGATTGCCGGATCCTTTAAAATCTGTGGTTCTCTTGCTCAGAGAGGAAACTGAGATCATCCTTCTCATTGTCATCAAGATACAGCAGGCAGAGGGTGCCGCCCACTCATCTGGGTGCTTTGACTGAAGTCCCAGAGGCCCTGCAGCCTCAGCACACTTGCAGACCTGCAAGGTTTCTCAGGGTTATTTCCTGGTAGAACATATTTCTCTTTCCAAGGCATTTCTTTGACTTATTCATAAATTTAACAGGTATCGACTGACTTGTGTCTGTGGCTTGGCCTTGTACAGGAGTTAGAGTCAAAAGTCAAGCCTGTGCTGCCCTCATGGAAGTCAAAGTCCAATGTAGGAGCTGGAAGAGTCAAGGGTGGTACCCTCATACTCCTTTTTTTGGATGGAGATGTTTTGCAAAAACAGCTCCTTTCAACAGGTGCCCTGCCCAGAGAGTACCTGCACCATCTCATGTCAGTCCTAGACAGGTAGCCTCTTTGTTACATCTTCTGCCTTCTCCCTCCATAACTCATCACCACTCTGGATGCAAGGGAGGTGAGACAAAGCAGGAGAAGAGAAGCCCCCTCCCTTCTCCCACAGCGTGTCCAGAGGGGTAAGAGAGATTCTGGGTATGCAGGTTGTTAATCCAGGATGGCTTATTTAAACAGTAAACAAGAACATACACAAAACAAACAAAGCGAAAACTTTCATTGGACTTCTGTTGAAAATCCAGGAGACTATTATGTTTCAGGAGCCCACATTTCTATGGGGTGACCCCTGGCTGGAGCTGTCACCCCCTTAGACAGAGCAGTTACTCCTCCTGTCACTGCAGCCCACTCTGCTGCTCTGGGTTCTGTCATGAGCTGGATTGTGTGTGCTCATAATACGTATGTTCAACTTCTCACCTTCGGGACATCAGAATGTAACTGTATGTGGAGATAGGGTCTTTAGAGCAGTCATAATTTAGTAAAAATGAGGTTATTATGGCAGGTCCTAATCCAATCTGACTGATGTCTTTATAAGAAGCGGAGATTAGGACCAGACACGGTGGCTCACACCTGTAACCCCAGCACCACTGCACTCCAGCCCAGGCAACAGAGTGAGACTCCATCTCAAAAAAAAAAAAAAAAAGAAAGAAAAAGAAAGAAAGAAAGAAAAGAAAAACAAAAAAAGAAGGAAAAGGAGATTAGGGCACAGACACCAAGTAGGCTATGTGAGGACACAGGGAGAAGACGGCCACCTACAAGCCAAGGAAAGAGGCCTCAGAAGAAAGCCACCCTGCAGACACCTTGACCTCAGATCTTCCAGCCTCCAGAACTGTGAGGAAATGCATTTATGCTGTTTAAGCCACCCAGTCTGTGGGGCTTTGTTACGGCAGTTTGAGCAAATTAATGTGAATTTCCATTGCTATGCCTCTTCCTTTTGACCCATGTATCTGATCTTCCTGGTGATTGTAGGCCATTTGAATGTGTGCTCTTTGATTTGAACTCAGTTTTCATTGGTTTAATATACGAAGTTGTGCAATACGCAAGTGTGGTAGGGCCTCCCAAAAAAGGTCCATATGCTAATCCCTGCAGCTGGTGAACATGTTACTTTGTAAAAAGGGACTTTGCAGATGTGATTCAGTGCCTTGAATTGGGAGATTACCCAAAATTATCTGTGTGAGTCCCGTGTAATCATGTTTTCTAATAAGGAGAAGGATTGAGGGTCAGAGTCAGAGGAGAGGTGACCACAACAGCAGAGGTTGGAGTGTCAGGATTGCTGGCAGAGGGACCTAAGGAAAGGACTGCGGGTGGCCTCTGGAAACTGGAAAAGACAGCTAGGAGTAGGCTGTCCCCTGGAGCCTCCAACAGGAACGCGGAGCCAGGAGTAGATGTTCCTCTGGAGCCTGCAACAGGAACACGGCCCTGCTGATAGCTTCATTTCAGCCACACAGACCAATTTCTAGACTCTGACCTCTAAAAGTATAAGACAGCAAACTGATATTGTTTTAAGCTACCTTGCTTATTTATTTGTGAACATGAGCATCACTGACTCGTCCCACTTGGATGTACACTGCACAAGGCAGGAATCTTGCCTATCTTGATTCACGCTGTGTCTGTGGCACCTAGAACAGTGCCTGGCACACACACAATTACAAAAACAAAACAAAACAAAACAAAACAAACACAAAATGTTCAGTAAAGTCCTGCTAAGCAAATTACTCATCCACATTCCCCAGTCATGGAGTAGAGTTGACACCTCCATCAGGCCATTCTACTCACTGGGAAAACCCCATGACTTGCACCTTTGCCTGAGGTTGGATGCAGAACCCTGTGGGTAGGAAAATAGACTGATGATGTTGAGTGAATAATAATTAACTGAGTTCCATGTTTATTCATTTACAACACAGTAGGCTGTAAGTTAAGCATCTCTGTTATTTTGTCTCATTTACTTCTCAGGACAGTCCTACAATATAGGGACTTTGATCATCTCCAGTGTGCCTAGGAGACAGGCTCACTAGTGAGGAGTGATGCAGCCCAGGAATCACAGTGGTGAGTAATATTCAAAGTGCAAGACGTTGCCTGCATGTGGTCTGTGTCATCTCCATGACCATGTTGTATACGGCAGCTGCTGTGGGGTAGAAACCCCCTAGTGGTTTCAGAGTCCCAAGAGCTGAGTTTAATGTTCTGCATCACTGCTGTGATACAGAATCTGATTGCATTTTTAATGGTTGGCCCCTCCCTTTCAAGCCCCACCCCTCACCTGCCCCGGTAAGAAAATCCAGCATCACCTCCCTCAGCACTGTAGGGAGTTGAGCCATGCACACCAGGACCTGTGCACTGGAGCCCACCCGGCCCGCCTCCCATTAGCAATCAGAGGCAAGGCTGCCCTCCCTCTATCCCCCACCCTCTGCCCCACTCAAGCCATGGGCTCCATTGGTACCAGGAACAATCCTGCTGTCCCCCAAAAGTCCCATTTTGTGACTAATAAACCGTTACATACATTTTGGGTGCATTTTTGGATCAACAATCTCAACACTGGTCTCAGTATCCTAACCCATGTGGGGAGCAACTGGGGACAGGTAGGTCTGCACTCCACCAGAAAACCACAAATCAACTACTTAATATCTGAGTTACCTTGCAACAAGTGTCACTAACCCACACCTTACTTTCCTGGATTGTAAAATGGTGAGAATGAAATTCCCTACCATAGAAACTCCCAGGTAAAAACCCTCTTTGAAGCATTGCATATAGGGTATATAGGGTAGGTATTAGTGATGCTAATAGTGATGGCAGAAAAGAAACTCATATTTAGAATTTTATTTTTTTACTCCATAAAGCCATGGGAAACAGATGAGAATGATTTGGGCTCTTGCCAAATGAGGTTGAAAAAGAACTAACTGTCCTGACATGTCATCATGGCTATGGTTATTTAGGTCCAGTCCTCACTGAAGGACTGATGAGTTATGCTGAACCTCCTTGAGGGCAGAAAATCTACATAAATTACTTGGAATTATTCTGCACAAGAGACTTGTTTCTTCTCTTCTATTGATTGATTTAAGCATTTATGTCAAGATGTCTCATGAATATTTTCTTTGTACTTTGGGTTACCCAAAAATATTTTATTTATTTTGTTGCATGAATTTGTCTAGCATTGGCTGCTGAGAGCTCTTTCAGTTTGTACCTTTGCATACCCCCAACAATGATTTTTTTTCTTTTGAGGACTTTCTTACTTTCTCACACAAGATGTTCCAGCCTCATTTTGTGTATTCTCTGTCTCAGTTCTAGAAGCAGTCATTTTCCCAGGAAACTGGGGTTCTTTTCATGGGAGAATGGTATTAGAAATCAACATCTGGATTCCAGGTGGGCTTGCTTCTAAATAGGTAGACCTTTTTCTGTACTGGAGTTACATCACACACGCATTGCATCAATTATGTGTGTGTGTGTTTGAGAAAGAGAAAGAGAGAGAGAGATCAGACAGTGCTGGGTATTGCTCTACTAAAGCAGCTCATGTGAGATGTACAGCAAATGCTTCCTCAACTTGTCAAGCCATTATCAAATAACTCTTACATACTAGTTTTCTATGCTGCCTAAAATCTTATCATAAATTTAGAGGCTTACAATTTATAAGCTCATGGTTCTGGGGGCCAGAAGTCCAGGCACACATGACCAGGTTCTCTGTTCAGTCTCACAAGGCTGACATCTAGGTGTTGACGTGATGGGGCTCTTTTAATCTTTTTTTTTAAATTTTAAGTTTTTTCCGTCATCCCTGTGTCTCTGGTAATGGTACAGGACTTACGTCTATATATTATGTGACAGCTTAGACAGTGCTGAGGATTCAGTCTTTGCCTTGATGAGAAAGCATCTACCTCCTGGGCTTTCTTGCAGTCATTTCTTGCCCATTTTTCTTATGAAAAATATTTGGCTGCTCTAGTCACTGCACTTGATGAGATTAAAGTCTGTAGCTGTCTCAGGTGCAACTAACTGAAAACACATCATGACATCTTTCTCCAAAGCCATTTTTAGAACAAATTATTGAAGCCTTGGCACCCTTCCATGACATTCCCTTGGAAAGACAGCAGGACTCTGTTCCTGTCCTGGGACATACCAGGTGAAGGCTGAGGATTGTTGAGGGAAGATAGATGGCCAAAAGCGGGACCCTTCGCAGCAACACACACTTCCGTATTTCCATGTCTTATTTCCCTTTTAACTGCCATTCCTTTGTGAAGCAATAAATACTCCCTGGTCTTATTGGAATGAGAGAAGGATAACCTTATGGGCTTTAGTGCCACAAAATGCATTAGCTGTCATGTCAAAATGAAATCACTTATAATGAGCAGAGAAAAACAAGGAAGTGAGTATTGGTATGATGTATAGACAAGGAAGACTTTTGTATCATACAAGCTAAAGAATAAACCATAAAAAATAACTTAGCTACAAAACAGTTTAAAATATCTGTTTATCACATTAGACCAAAATCAAAACTAAAATGTAAATGACATGTTGGGGAAACTATTTTCAAACTTTCTAACAAAGAATGAGTATGCTTAAGGCAGGGAATTTATAAATTAATCAAGTCAAAAGCAAATGCATCAAATAAATAGATGAAGGACATTAACAGGCAAGTCAAAATGGAAAAAGTAAGACAGTCAACATTTGAGAAAAAATACTCAGCTTCATTAGTTCTATAATTAATATAAAATAGGAATGAGGAATAGTTACTGTTTTGTTGCTCAAACTGGAAAGTGGCTTTTAATACAACTCTCCTTTCTTCAGGTCGTGTTGAATTGGTCACTTTATGAGTAGTACTGTATATGAATATCACTTTTCTTAAGGACACATTGGGAACTAGAATTGAAAGGCTTGTGAGTGAATATGCCATCTGATTCAGCAACTTCAGTGTTGGACACTTACTTGAAGCAAATTATCAGAGCTCCACAACAAGGATAGAGGCTACCAGGGAGATAGTGAGTTCCCATTTCAGAAAATGTGCAAGCGTGAGGGACGATTGATGAGGCTATTGATGATACCGGGAGAGGGTTGGGTTAGATGAATCAATAGTAAGGTCATTCCAAGTTTCAAATGTTATGACTCAACCACTCTGTCATCAAAACAAAAGTGTTTGGAAGAACATAAAGATACGGAAAGCTTTACATTATTATTATAATCAAAATAGCAGCAACACACTTGTTATGTGCAAGATGTTGTTTGAAGCACTTCAAAGGTATTTGCTTATGTAAGTTGTACGGCACCATGAGAGGTGGGTATTAACATCCTTATTTTATAGATAAGCAAAGTAAGGTACAGAGAAATAAAGTCACATTCATCAGGCCACGTGGGAAATAAATAGAAAAGCCAAGGTGTCAGCCCAGACAGTTGCTCTGTGCCGCACACAATCTTAGGTCTTATGCCAGCCTGCCTCCTATTTGTTAGTTCTGCTGTAATTCAAGGTCTGAATAATTGTTTTTTCTTCAAAATAGGATCTGGAAAGTCACTAGGTCTGTACCACACTTTACAGTGTATAAAACACTTTCACCCAGAGTTATCTTATTTGATGCTTTCAATAAGACATTGGAGTTGTCCCAGGATAAGAACATCTCCATACTAGGGGAAAATGAAGTTCCAAGGAGTCGTGATTTGTCTTTCTTTAGTTCACAGTGAGGTAGACGAGATGCTCTCTTGTTAAAACCTTCTGTGTCACCCAATGGCGTACAGGGTGATCGATACATTTGCTTTATTCACTTTGAGGCTGGTGCTTCCAACAAGGGAACCGTAGGACATTCAAAGCCTGGACTTGGACCTACATGAGCTATTTATCCATGGGGCTTTTAAAATTGCACCTGCAATACTTCTCAGCCACAAAGGTGACATAAATACTTGTGTTTGCTTCTCATCCACACAAACCCTGCACTCTCCTTCTCAATTTCCGGAAAGTAAGGTTCTGCACGCTTGCTTCAGTTGTCTGTTGTAATGTAACAAACCACCTCTAACCATAGTAATGTGAAAGAACAACCATTTTAGTTCCTCATGATTCTTTGGGTGAGAATTTGCTCGGGGAGAGGGGATATGGACCATCTTTGAGCCATAATAATGGGAGCTGTGGTTGTAATCATACAAAGGACTGGGATGACTCAGCTGGTTTCATGTCTGGGGTCTCAATTTGCCCTGTCCACTGGGTTCCTCGGTTGTCTACCATGTGGCCTCCCCACCAGGCTAGCTTAGGCTTCCTCCCTGCATGGCAGCCTCAGTGTGTGTTGACTTCTTACCTAGTGGCTGACTTCTCCTCCGGAAGAACCAGAAGCCGTAGGTATCAGAAAAGCTGGCTTGGAGCTGGTACAGTTTCCCTCCTATTGTATTCTACAGTCATGGCACGTTCCAGGCCAGCCAGACTCTAGGAAAGAGAAAGACACTGTGTGTTTATAAATGGAAGAAATGTCATGAATATCAAAGCCCTGAAAGATAGATTTTTCATTAAAACTTTCATATGTGCAAGTAACAGACATTTAAAAAATTGCAAAATGTAAACAGCTGAAACTATTTTTTTCTCTCTTATGCCATTCCTGTTTGTCCTTCTAAATAGCAACTATATCTACACGCCCACATATATTTAGATTTTTCCTCTTTCACACAAAGTGGAACCAATCGTATCTGTTCTTCCACACTTTCCTTTTCTTCTATTACCATAGTATTTCAGAATGCACACACATGTAACTATTCATACTGATACAGGTAATCCTTGACCAATGCAGGGGTCAGAAGCACCAACTCCCCACATGTCAGTAAATCTGCACGTAATTTTCAACTCTTTCAAAACCTAGCTACCAACAGCTTTCTGTTGACTGACAGCCTTACTGATAACATCAACAGTTGATTAACACATAAATAGACAGGTATATATGTATATTTTATGCATTCATGACATACCTAACTTTTTCTTATTTTGTTTTGCTATTGGTGACATGGTTTGTGAGGTTTCCAGATTGCTGAAAATCTCCAAATCATTTTGTAATATATTTATTTAAAAAAACCCACTTGTAAGTGGACCTGCACAGGGCATAGACGTGTGTTGTCTTAAGGTCACTTTTGTCTATATAAATATAATTTTATAACATACAAATACACATACATATATAAATGTATGTACCCATAAATACACACATGCATAAATATATTTGCTAATGTAAATACATTGTTAGGACATACACAAAAAGGAAACAATTGTTTGGACGAGGAACTAAGGGGCCAAATGTCAGGAGTGGTAGAACAACGTTCATTGTACATCCTTTTCGACATGTTAACTTTGAGCCTTGTGATATATTAATACATATATTTTCATATTTATCAGCATTTTAAGTATAAAATATAGCTCAGAAACATTTTCTGGTAAGCTTTGGGAAGTGGCTTTTTAACTGCTGAATAATATGTCATTTAATGGGCACACCGTTATTGACCAAACTGTGTCCTCACCTCCTTAACAGCAACATTAAAATTTTTTTATTACCGAATGTGTCTTATGGACCAACTCCTAAGTCACTAAATATAATTTAGAGGAAGAAATCTATTTGTATACATTATTGATATAAGTATGTACTTGTTTGTGTATGAATAATGTAGCTCCTGGCCAACAGTATCAAACATTTTTAACATCAAATCAATGTTTATGGACCTGTCAGGTGATACAGCGTAATGGCAATGACAGAAGAGCCAGATCATTTTTTAATATAATCCCAGGTCTCTTTGAAAATTGAAAACACTTTTTCAATTAGAGTTGTCAGCAGGTCTTGTGGCTTGGCTGGAATGAAAGTACTCAGTTGTAAATTTATTTTAAACTCCTGCCAAAAGCATATGAACTGAGATAATTAAATAGGCTAACAGGAAACTGTAATCCCAAACAAGGCAGTGGGATGCAGGCACAAGACCACCTGATGTGCCTAAGGCTCCCCTCTCTATTTAGGCACAGACAGGTGGAAGAGAATTAGAATTGGGCGCTCAGAAAAGAACCCTTGGGAAGGGTTTTATCTTGTTTTGTTTCTTCTGTCGTCCAATAAGTAGATATCTGTTGTTTATGGCTTCCTTTCCTTTCCTCTTCAGATCACACCACCATAATGTTCTACTAAGAATGTCTTTCCTCCTCTAAGCAGTGCCTGTAAATAGTGGGTGATTCTTTGTCACCTCCCTGCTTCAGGAGTGAGCTTGTGACAGACCTGGCCAGTCAGCAAATTCTCTCCTGCTGATAAGACCGATTAGGTCAGAGATAGGCACATGCCCTAAGTTTACCCAGTGAGGCTCAGCAGGAGCCTTCTATTGGGATTGTTGGGAAGAATGTGGCGCCTCTCTATTGGGGTGGTGGAGCTGTGTCAGTGTACATACGCAGCTCCTAAACATCACCGATGGAGAGGGTTTGCTTGAGAATGAAGCCCATACAAGGAAAGACACACTGAGAGAGGAGACAAGCTTGCTGATAGTCTAATCAAAGAACCAAGGGATGCGCTAACCCTAGTCTTCCCAGTGACAACAGATTCATTCTGATTAATTCATTAATCAACTGTGAGCTGATTAATAGTTGATTAATTACCACGTTTTGCTGAAGGCATTCGAGTGGTGTTCCTGCTATTTTTAACCAGAGTCCTGTTGGATACAGTATACACAACTGTGAGCCCTCATGTCCTCTGTCTACCTCTAGGTACAGAACAGAGGGAAAGGAGGCAATGGGGCTGAGCCCCATCCCTGTGTGTACTGTTTTTGCCTTACTGCAGATAGCACTGCCTCCTTCTGGTCTGTGGCTTTTGTCTCTGGAGACAGAATCCTTGGCCCCCAACAGTATCTACATCCTAATCCGTGGGACCTGTCTCCTGGCACAGGAGACTTTGCAGGTGTGCTGAAGGTAAGGATTTCGAGATGGGGAAATTATTATGGATTATCCAAGCAAGTGCTAAATATAATCAAAATAGGGAGACAGGAGGATGAGAAACAAGACACATATATGACAGTGGATGCAGAGGTGAAAGGAAGGGAGAGGGAGAAAGAAGAGAGGGAGACATTTGACTCTGTTGGCCTTGAAGATGGAGGAAGTTACTCTGAGCCAAGGAGTGAAGATAGCCTCTAGAAGCCAGAAGAGGCAAGAAAAGGATTTCTCTCCTGGAGCCCTGGCAGGGATGCTGCCCTGCTGACACCTTCATTTTGAGAATTATGACCTCCAGCATGATAGAGCAATAAATGTGTTTTAAGCCACTGTGGTTGTGGTCATTTGTATAGCAGTGATAAACTAATATCATCTCCTAATCATTCTTTCCGGGCCATCTGTGTCTCCCTTTAAATTACTCTCCTTTCTGCCACAAAATCCTTTCTAAGACAGAGCTCAGGTCATGTCACACCCAGCTCAGTGTTCCCCCAATGCATATGGAATAAGATTGGCCTACTGGCGTGGCATTTCACGATCTTTACCATCAGTTCCAACTCAGCTTCCCCCTCTTGCCTTCCTTCAGTCTCTCCTGTATACTGTGTCTCTGAAAGCTGCAGCATCTGAGTATTTCCTGAGCAACCCTCGTCATTGTTTCCATGATTGTTTCCTCCAGTCTGTGCATCTGTTCTCTCTCCTTGCATCTCTAAATCTGTGTTGTCTTTCAGGGCCTGACTTTCATGGCACTGCGTGCATGAATCTTTTCCCAATATTCCTCTCTAGTGAAAAAAAATTTTTCAATAATTTTGTGTCTCTCTTGCCATTCTTTTTGACTTTTATCTTCTGTTGCTGTAATTTATATATGTCAGCTTTCTTTCCTGTTACATAGGAGCCGGGTCTTTTGTATTATTTCTCAGAATGCCTAGCAAATACTATGTGTTAAGTATGTGTTTCTGGAATCTGCTTGTTCATCAGAGTTTCGTAAGGCATTGAAATATAGGTCAGATGCCCCCATGAGCCAGGAAGGTGACACACAACAATGAATGAAGTGAACTTGTGAGCTTGTGGGAGACAATACTGAGTGGTGACTACTGGTCAACTGGAAAGCCAGGGTCCCTTCCAAGAGGAGCAGCTGCCTCTGTGCTCTATTCGAGACACACGACACTGTTGGTACCATTTTTAACGGTTCAGTGAAAGTCTAGCGTCCAGAATTCTAAGTAAAACGTTCTTGTGGCTAGAGCAGCCTAGCCTGTGGAATGCTTTGAGTGACTTATTCCCCTGTGGAGATCCATGAATGCGTGGATTCATTAATGAATGGGAGCTTGGCTGGCCTTTTAAAACCACATCTCTCAGTTTGGACAGCACAGCCCTTCCAGGTGGCACCTTGAGATTTGTATTTGCAGGCAACTTGGGATGACTCATCTTGAAATGACCTCAGTTGTCATTTATCACAGCCAGAAGTTTAAATAGATACCTAATTGCACTGATGGTGATTATGATTCCTGGATAAAATATTTGGATGTCCTTACAAGCAAAAAACAAAATAAAAAACAAACTTTTTTTTTTTTTTTTTTTGCTGTTTTTTATTTGGGACACAATTTTGGAAAAAGCATGGAAGGTTCCTGTAGATGAGAAGGGCAATGTGGGTGGGTGAATTTGCAGGCTCAAAACCCATTCTTCTGTCATCAAAATATTATCAGAACTTGACCATCATCCAAGTAGAGAAACTACCAGGAGAAGATCAGAGGGATCAGCTCACAATTATCCAGCACCTATAAAATTCAAGACACTCTGTTATCATATATTTGCTCTTATTTAATGGGTGTGCAAAGGAGCCCATTATTTTCAGTTTGAAATTGTGCTCATGTAAACCTTCAGTTCTGATTTTAACAGTATGATCTTTGTGGAAGAAAGGAGTCTAATGACGTCGAGCCAAGCTATGGGTCAACTGTGTGTGTGTGTGTATGTGTCCGTGTGTGTGTGTGTCCAGGCATTCACGCATTGGCAGAAAGAAAGAAGTAGAAAATAGAAGTCTACAATAATAAACATTGTTTTCTCCATTGGTGAAACTATATCTACTTTTAATCTCACTCTGTTTAACTAAACAATGTTAATATTTTAAAATTTTATTTGGGAGCAATTCTGTGAACCAAAATCTAGATAAAAATGCAGAATGTCCCAAATCAAAAGAAATAGAATGTTCTGTAGAAGTGGAAACTGGTTTGAGTTAGTGAGACGTTGCTCTTTTCTTTTAACTAAAATGGTTGGAAGGGAAAATGGTGCAATAGATGAAGGTGTAGCCTTCCAAATAAGACACTCCTGGTTTTGCTTTTGACCTTGAACAAGGAGTTGGTATATTTTAGCTTCCATTTCTTTATCTATAAAATGGGATAATAATACTAATACATAATGTATAGGGTGATTCTGAAGATGAGGTGACATAAAGTGTTTAAAATAGGTGCTCAAAATGTAGGTATTAAGACATATTACAATATTACTATAATGCATTGTGGAACAAAGTGAAAACAAGACATATTTTGGAAAAACATTGCTTTGTTTCTTTCCATATGCAAAAATACCATAAATCACTCACTGATTTATTTTGGGTTAAAGTAACTTTGATTTGGACGTGTGAATGATGTAATCTATGCAGAGAAATGGATCAAAAGCTCAAGAAAGCATCTGGATTGTTTTTTCTTGGTTTCTTTTTATTTTCTTTGTTTCCTAATCTTTGCCTCACCTGTTCTTAGAGTGAGAGCTGAGTTGTCAAAAGAAAGACAACAAAATTTCTAGAAGTCTAAATGTCTCCCGGCATTGTTCTGTAATAGTCATTGCTAAAAGTGGAGGTCTCCTGCAGTAGCAGTGTGGGCGGGTGTCATCAGAGAAGCCTTGCTAGGATTTCACACACAAAGCCGCCCTGCTGCCAGGCAAAACCCCAGGCTGAGAGCAAGAGCAGAAGCCAGGTCTCCGCAGTATTGTTTTGTTTTGGTTGTTGGTCTTTTAATTTTTTTTCTTTTTTACCTGTCTAATTGGGAAAATAGTTTGGATTAATAAAAATATTCAAAAAGAAATGATGTACAAAAATCCTAATTGTACACTTTTGCCCAAATTCACTTATTGTTAATATTTTGCTCAATTTGATTCCTACGTGTCCTTCCTCTCCTCTTTCTTCCCTCCCTTTCCCCCAGTTTCCCTGTAATGATATAGGTTCATTTGTTTTAGCCTGCTTGAAATGTTGTTTTTCCCTTCATCATTCCTATAAATTTAATTTTACTTTGGAGTACATATAACATTAACTTTAATTTTTGAGTACGTATGATGTTCTTTCTACCTCATTCTCTCCACTTCTCCTAGGTAATCAGCTCGTTTTCTGGTTTATTCTTTCTCGAGATGGTTAATTTTATGTGTCAACTTGACTGCGCTAAGGGATCCCCAGATAGCTGGTAAACATTATGCTGGGTACATGTGTGAAGATATTTCCAGAAAAAATTTGCATTTGAATCAGCAGACTAAGAAAAGTTGCCCTCATCAATGGGGGTGATATTATATAATCCACTGAGGGCCTAGATAGAACAAAACGATGGAGGAAGCATGAATTCAGTCTTTCTGAGTTGGAAGATCTTTGTTCTATTCTTGGACATTGGAACTCCTAGTATTAGTCCTTCGGACTCAGACAGAGTCTCTCACCAGCAGATACGTGTTGTACCTGCACCCTGACCTCCTTCTGCCTCCCAGCCCTTTGGCCTCAGATTGAAAGTTACACTATCTTCTCCCCTAGTTCCCAGGCCTTCAGCCCCACTCAGGCTTAACTACACCTCTGGCTTCCCTGGTTCTCCAGCTTTCAGATGCATATTATGGGACTTAACCTCCAAAACTGCATGAGCCAATTCCCATAATAAATCTCCTCTTAAATATCCAGATATGGGCTGGGCGTGGTGGCTCACGCCTGTAATCCCAGCACTTTGGGAGGCCGAGGCGGTCAGATCACCTGAGGTCTGGTGTTCGGGACCAGCCTGACCAACATGGAGAAACCCCATCTCTACTAAAATACAAAATCAGCCAGGTATGGTGGCGCATACCTGTAATCCCAGCTACTCGATAGGCTGAGGCAGGAGAATCACTTGAACCTGGGAGGTGGAGGTGGAGGTGAGCCAAGATTGTGCCATTGCACTCCAGCTTGGGCAACAAGAGTGTAACTCTGTCTCAAAAATAAAATAAAATAAATATATATATATCCAGATGTATCCTGTTGATTGTGCTTCTCTGGAGAGCCCTAATACATTTCTGTAATTATTTCTGTAAATATATGCAGATATATGCACATTCTCCTATTTTTTCTTTTATCTTACATAAAATGTAGCATGCTATATAAGTTCTTTTAAATATATTTTTAAATGTGGTAAAATGCATAACAAAATGTATCATTTTAATTATTTTTAAGTGTACAGTTCTGTGGCAATAACTACATTCACATTGTTTGCAACCATCGCCCCCATCCATTTTCAGAACATTTTCATCATTCCAGATGGAAACACTGTACTCATTAAACAGTAGTACCCCATTCCTCCCTTCTCCCCAGCCCCCGACAAACACCATTCTGTGTTCTGTCTCCACGAATTTGCTTATTCTAGGTACCTCATATGCGCATAATCATACAATATGTGTCCTTTTGTGTCTGGCTTATGTCAATTAGCATAATGTCCTTAAGCTACCGCCATGTTGTAGCGTTTGTCATAATACTGTTTCCTTTTAAAGCTGAATAATTTATAACGTCTTTTGCACTTACCTTTTAAATTGTTTGAAAGTTAACATCTCCTGGAGAGCATTCTATATCAGTTCATTAAAAAAATAAAAAGTCTGCATGTTTTTTAACAGCTGCAGAATACCCAACCGCAGTAGATAGCCCAGTTTATTCAACTGCTCTCCCATACTTGAATATTTAGGCAGTTTCTAATATCTTGCAATTACAAATCATGCTGCAATGCATAATCTGTGCAGATGTATTTTTTGTATGATTAGATGCATGTCTTTAGGATGAATTCCTAGAAGTGGCATTTCTAGGCCAAAACATGAATGCATACACAGTTCTATTAGAAATTGCCAATTACTCTTTCTCTGGAGTTAAGTAATTTGCATTCTTGATACCAGTGTTGGAGAGTTTTTTTTCCCCCTGACAACCTTGTCAAAAGAGTCTACTGTCAAAGCTTTTGGCTTTTTGTCAATCTGATGGGTAGAATATATCTCAGAATAATTTTTATTTTAATTTTTCCTAGTATGTGTGAAGTTAAACACTTTACATACAGTTAAGAGGTATTTTTTCACTTTCTGAGCTGTCCAGTCATCATTTTTGCAAAATTTTCTACAGCATTTTACATTTTTTCTCATTATTTAAAATGTCTTTATGATTTTGGAGTTTGCAGTATATATCATCAACATTTTTTCCTGTTTATTATTTGTCTTTTTGTGTTCCTCGTAATGGATTATCTTTGCCATGAAAGTAAATACACACACACACACACACACACACACACACACATATATGTAGTCAAGTTTTTAATTTTTCAGTTACATATGGAACTTGGTCGTAGTTGAAAAGATTTTACCTAGACCCAGATGATATAGGAATTCACCCTTTTTTCCTTTCCATTTCAGTCTAATCCATTTGGAGGATTATCTGGTGCATGGTGTAAGGAATTGATATAATTATAACTCTTTGAACAAATAACTATAATTTATTCTAACACCATTTATTTAAAAGTCTCTATTTTGCCCCCATGAATTGAATACAGTGGTAACCACATACTAGATATTTACATCACATACTAGATATTTACATGCAGTTATGGCTATTTTGAGACTCCCTGTCCTGTCCCATTGATCAGGCTGCCCCTGCGCCAGCTCCTCACTGCCCTCTTTGATTTAGTACCTGGCATGACTGGTTCCCTTCCAGACTTGCATTTCAGTACTTTCCTGGTTCTTCTGCTTTATTTCTTTTGCTATATAAATTTTAATATCAGCTTGTATAGCTCCAAGAAAATGTTCATTACAATTTTTATTGGGGTCACATTAAAGTTATACATTAAGTCAGAAAGAATTGAAATATCAATGATGTAAAGATGCCCTACCTAGAACAAGGAAGAACATAGCTATTCTTCAGGAGAGTTTTATACTTTTCTGCTTGTTGGCTTCAAACATTTCTGGTGCATTTATTTTTATTTTTATTTTTTTTTTAGACGGAGTCTTGCTCGGTTGCCCAGGCTGGAGTGCAGTGTCCGGATCTTGGCTCACTGCAAGCTCCGCCTCCCGGGTTTACACCATTCTCCTGCCTCAGCCTCCCGGGTAGCTGAGACTACAGGCGCCCGCCACCTCGCCTGGCTAGTTTTTTTGTATTTTTTAGTAGAGACGGGGTTTCACCGGGTTAGCCAGGATGGTCTCGAGCTCCTGACCTCGTGATCCGCCCGTCTCCGCCTCCCAAAGTGCTGGGATTACAGGCTTGAGCCACCGCGCCCGGCCGCATTTATTCTTAAATGTATTTATTTCTTGTTGCTGTAATAAATGAGATCCATGGATTCATTTTATCTTCTAACTGGTGAATATTTGTGTCTGTAAATGTTATTGATTTTTGTATGTTAATGTTGAAATCCTTTAGCGTTTATGTTAGTTTTATCATTGATCCTCTAGATGTATGATCAGGTTCTCTGCCTATGGAGTTTTATATCTTCATCTCAGTCTTTATGTACAAATTGTTTCCTTTTGTCTAATTGCCCTAACTAGTACCTGAAGAACATTGTGAAATAATAGTGAAAATTGTTCACATTCTTGCTTTGTTAATGATCCTAGTGGAGGTCCTTCTAGAGTCCCCTCATTATGTAAACTTTTGGCTTTTAATATTGAAGTGTATGGCGGGGCGCGGTGGCTCACGCC